ATAATTTAAAAATCCATCATTATTAGCTTAAAATTTTTAATTGTAAGGTCATTTAAATTTTTTTTCTGATTTCTTTTAATATAAAACTTTGAGTGGTAGTTGAACAGAAACAAATGTACAAGTGTCTGTTTCTAGCTTTCTGTGTGTGTGTGGTTTGTATAAGAAAAAACTGTTTCTAAAAATACAGTCTTATTGTCTATCTAATATTGTGGTTATCTTTGGTAATAAGTAATTCACACTTGGGTTTTGTGTGGCACTGTAGAATAAGTAATGGACTGAAAACTGCAATGTGGCAGTTCAATCCTACAAACCCATCCTTGGAAACCCTATATAGGATCACTATGAGTCAAAGCAATCTAGATGATACTTAACAATAAAAACAGCTTTATGCCTTAACTGATAAGTTCCTCACAAGCTTAATGCCTGGCTTCTTAGTAGGCAATTTGCATTAATTAAATGTTTAAGTTCCACAGTCATAAGGGCATTTGAGTTGTCCACATGTACTTTACAAAATTCCCTTTTCCTTCCAAAAGTTGACTTGGCAAGCTTCCGCTTCATTTCCTACTACTTTAGGGACACTCCTGTCATCAAGCTGGGCACTGATTTTGTTAGATTTTATCTGTTTTACAGTAAAATTCCAATTCTGATATATCAACAATATGGAGCCCTAATAAGCAGTAGTCTAAATTCAGTATTTTGAGGAAGTTGTCCTAATACCTGTAATTTTGTCTATCAAGAGTTTCCAGTAACTCTGGTCTGAGGCAGTTGAGAACTATAGGTCTAATATGCATATTTAATATCACATGGTTTTTATTTCCCTGCCAATTTGCAGAGTTCAGAAGTGATGAATATGAAATTCAGAATGATCTCATATTATAGTCATGTTAGCTGAACAATGTGGAAAAAGAGTAATTACTTAAAGTTTGGAAAGATTTGATAGTGAGAGGAGGACATGGAGAAATGAGAGTGTGTAAGAGGAAAGAGGAGAGATAAGGAGGGAAAGAGAAATAGAAGGAAGAGAAAAAGAATGACAAACATGCATGGAAAACCACAAAAACCATGTATACCTATTTCAGTGTATAATATAGATGAGAATGCTTCTCTGAAGTAAGGTATCTTTTTACATCTGATTTGTGTATTCCATCTTATTGTTTTCGTCAGAATCATCAACAACATGGAAACAGAGAACCAAACAGGAATAGCAGAATTCATCCTCCTGGGCCTCTCAGAGAATCCAGAACTGCAGTCTCTTCTCTTTGGAATGTTCTTATCCATATACTTGATCACTGTGACTGGGAACTTTCTCATCATCCTGACCATCAGCTCAAACTCTCACCTTCATATTCCCATGTACTTCTTTCTCTCCAACCTGTCCTTCACTGACATCTGTTTCAGCACCACCACAGTCATCAAGATGCTGGTGAACATTCAGACACACACCAAATCCATCAGTTACACAGGCTGTCTCACCCAGCTCTGGTTTGTCCTGGTTTTTCAGTGTTGGGAAAATTGTCTCCTTGCTGTAATGGCCTATGACCGGTATGTGGCCATTTGTCATCCATTGAGGTACACAGTCATCATGAACCCCCTCTTCTGTGGTCTGTTGATTCTACTCTCCTTGCTCATTAGTATTCTGAATGCCCTGCTCCATGGTCTGATGGTGTTGTGTCTGTCCTTCTGTACAGACCTGAAGATTCCCCAGTTTTTCTGTGAACTTGCTCAGGTCCTCAAGCTTGCCTGTTCTGATACTT